CTGGTAACATTTCAAAAATATTATTCCATTTTAAAGGGTGCGTCTGGTAACATAGCAATTTTCCGGAGTAAAATCAATTAACTACTGTATTGTATTGCAGCGCATGACCAATACAATTATTGTATTGCTTGGTGCATATAAATATTTAATTGTCTAATTGTCAATTATATAAATGCATAGTTATATTTCTTTACAAATGATAAGATAAAATATTGTTGGCTCGTTGGCTCAAAAAGGTTATTTTAGATTTCGCACAATCAGTAACGTTAATCGCAAGTCGTACTTCTTCATTTATCCTGAGTTTGGTGGACCTGTTCGAGTGGTCAATTTGGTAGTGAAGCGTATGATTGGAGGATAATCACAATTATGCTAACGTCAATCTTGCAGTTGAAACACTTGATCAAAAGATGAAATAAATATTTGCGTTGAATATTACGGAGATTTCGGAGGCATTGAAAACAAAGGGTTATATATTTCGGAGACAATATTATTTCCCTTTCCGTAGACTACAGTATAGGTGGAGCGAATTCGTGGATCGGCGAGGTCATACTGTAGTGAGTGGTCCAGTGGGTCATTTGCCGATGGTAGTGTTGGGGCTAGTAGGGACGGCAGAGGCATTCGAAGCATTGAATTGATTGAAGCTCAGGTTTAGTTCACAGTCACATGGTATATCTGCAGACGTTCGAAAAGGCAGCAAAGGCAAGGAATGACACACTTCTGAAACAGACACCATAGCGCCAGCTGCCGAGGAATGCTACTACTATTAATTCTGTAGTACGTACTAATAGTACTACTACGAAGTACTAGACTATTGCACATTCTACTGTTCATATATGCAGAGGTCCGTCGGCGTCATGTGGGGGCCCTAAAATGGGGTTGGGTTTGAAAAGAACAATTTTCCATAACTTTTGACGACTGATTGGCTTACAATATTGTCCAGTCGATTCGAAACTGGAGCCCTCAGCAGAATCGAATGTCTTAAGGGGCTGGTCTGTGAAAAACCATCCACGCTTTAAGGCAGGGATGTTATCCGAACTATTTTCGAGGATTCTGAAAATATATCAAAAATATTTCTTAATTTCTATCGAAAACGTGCAAAAGCAGGAACGGACACTCAAAAGCAGGGATTACAGTTAGGCGTCCGTGCTTTTGACGTTGTGTTATCCGGAAAAATTCACGTTTTAGCCAATCAGGAGTCGTATATGTGTGGATACTTCAAAAAGCGTGGACGGGAATGTTCGCAGACCAGCCCCTAAGGGAATGGATTATAGAACTTCGTAAGCCAATCAAATCACGTTTTTATGAATTTCTGCCAATCCAAATGTTTGACCCGACTCTGTCCCTCCGCATTGGGCAAAACCATATATATACAAACCTTTGTATTGTATAGTACTATATACAAGCTTAAATTGGATCAATTAACCGTGTAGTGTACTAGTAGTAGGGAAGACGATCAAAATGAAATCATAATTATGGAAATATTCGGTACTAGCCGCCCTACTATGTTTCCCTACTTGACAACGACACCCTACTAAGGGACCCTATTTTCCCTAACGTTATGGTGGCTTGAACCTCACATTTCAAATTCAGCGTGTTGAACAAACAACCTGCGCAACCCGAAATCGCTGGTTTACAATCGATACGTCAAGATGAAAGAAACTCAGTGGGCAAAACTGGAGGCGACCTCGTCACCGGGTGACTGCACAGTACTGGAGGTGCATTGCAGCCAATTTGTTCGTTTGTGGAATTCGACGAATAGTAGAGATTTATTCTACTTCGAAGTACGTTTTATTTACTTCAGAATATGATGAAAAAATTGATGACAGTTGCCCTAGATATTGTGCATTTCACCCAAATTTGGACTTGTGAGTGATTTCGCCAAATGAATTCGAATCCATTTTCAGCTTCTTTTCACTATATTTCGCTTAGCTTGCAGTATATTTCGCCAGTCCACCATCTATGTATTTCGATTAGTGGCCTCAAACTTCACGTTTATATTTATGGGTGAAATATATTGACGAAAACTGAAATTAAACGAAAGTTGGTTGAATTCTACCGCTGGTTTGGTGAAATCTAAACGTGAAGTTTGACGTCTAAGCGAAATATAGTGAAAAGAAGCTGAAATTAACCGCAAAAACGTGTAGTATGCCATCCTAAGTGAAGTCAAAAATGTACCAAGTCAACACCTTCAATTCTTGGGTAAAAATACGACAAACTATTAATACTTTCAAGTATTAATAAATGTCGCTGATATATTATTTCTAGTTCGACGCCAATCCTATTCACATGATACTGCACAAACTGACACACGACCGTTGGACATCGCCGCCCACTCGTTCCAAGAACGCGTCGCAGCTTTCCTCGTCCTTCTTCTCCGTCGCCAACATGCCATCGTTCCGCTGACATTCCGCCTCCTTTTCCCGTTCCTGTTCCCCCTCCCGTTCCTGTTCCGCCTCCCGTTCCTGTTCCGCTTTCTTTTCCTGTTCCGCCTTCTTTTCCGCGTCCTCCTCTGCCAACCGGCGCACGTCGGCCACGCTCATGCGGTTCTTGAGCATCTCGGCGCGTTCGGCGGTGGTCCACACGGCGTTTCCGTGCTCGTCGTGGGCGCGCGCCATGCCGGCAAACGTTTTCGCCGGGTCTTGAGCTTCCAGCAGGCCCTTGAGCATGCGGAGCTGGGCGCCGCGCACCGCCTCCACCGCCTCTTCGCGGCCCATCTCGGGCGGCGCGTTTAACTGGTCCGCCAGAAGCGCCGGCGTGCACGTCATGGCCGAAATCACCGCGTCCACGGCCTCGAACGTGTCCCTGTCGACACTGGGCACGCCAAACCACGAGAGGAGGCGCGCGATATTGTTGCCTCGCTGGACCAGCTTAAACCCGCCCTGGATCAGGGGCATGCACGTCGTCATAAACTCAACGTACTGCGTCGAGTTGGCCACAAGCTCAATCGGGTACACATCATCCTCCTCTTCGTCGGGAACTACGGGCAGCCGCGTGACTTCGTCCACCAGGTACAAGTACATGGGTCGTCCGCCCGCCATCCTTTGCAGCGCGCGGGCGGTCGCGGCGGTGCTGCTTAATGACTGCACAAACTCGGCCCCCGTCGCCGCCAAGAAGGCCACGAACGTGCTCAGCTCTTGTTCTTCTTCTAGATCGTTCTTGGTGGATGATCGGGCTTGTAGTTTGGTCGTGAGAAGGATGAACGAAGATGGCACGTCCACGTCATTCGCCTCGAGGATCGCATTGAACAGCGCGCGCTTCATGTCGTCCACGGCGGCCTCCATCGCTGCCATCGACGCCAGAATCGTCCGGTTGTTGCGGCGCGCCTGATCCAGCAGATCCGTCGCCTGCCGCTCCAACTGCCGCGCATTATCCAGGGCGACGGCGACCATCGCCTCGAGCTCGGCCGCGGTCACGGCGCCCGTGAAAAATGGATGGCTCGCGACATTTCGCAGGGGCATCCGGTTGTCCGGGTCCGGATGGAGCAGCGCCACGAGCAGCGCGTGCGCGTGGGGGTCCAACACGAACTTGGTGATGTGGTGTCGTATGGACTCGGGGGTCCAGGACGCCGCGCACTTCAAGTGCGCCAAGTCATATCTGTCGATCACGGGCACCAAGTGTTGATCCGTGACCACGGTGAACAAGAGGCACCCGAACGCCCACGAGTCGGCCTTCTGGGACACGAGCACCGGCGGGTACGGAAGCCCCGCGGCGCCTTTGGCCGCACACGCCGCCCGCACCGTGAAGGGTGGCGACGACGACGACCCACACTGGAACACGCGAGATCCGTCGACGTGCCCGTGCCAGTACGCGGTCACGCTGTCCACGTCCTTGGCGGTGTCGAGTTTGCAGAACATTTCTACAGGTTGACGATATCGTCAAAGTTTGATATAGGAACAATGGAGCCAATCAGATTCCAGGAAACCATCGTCGATGCCAAATTAGTGTGTGACTTCAATTAGTGTGGTACCACGTTACAAAATATTCAGGAATCGATCGATAGATTTGGCTAGTCGGCAAATAAAACGCGGCAATACATATCCATCATAATGCTAGTTAGTGTGCGTTTAATGCAGTATGATTGGATAAAAACAATACAGAGATTGCAATTTGATTGGCTAACACGAATTTAAACGTTTATCATATTTGACTGGCGACTTCACAGAATACAACTAATAAGAATAAAGAGGTTCGAACCTGGCGGGAGGATGCTCGTGGAAAACTTGACGGGCAGTTGGCGGTCGGCGATGCGGGCGGACGCGTCGCCGTCGATCACGTAGAGCTTCCCGTGGACGAACACGACGTCCAAGGGCGTGACGTCGCCGTGCACGTGTTGCTCCTGGTGGAACGCAGAGAGGGCAATGGATAGTTCCTTGAGAACGTCGCATTTCCGCTGCACGGATTCACTGGAAAGGACATCCGCGAGGGTCATGGAGGCGAACGGCATGACAATCGCATAAGGATATGACGCCAACGAGTCGCCTTGAAGCACAAGGGACTTGGTCGCGTCCTGGAACCACTCCAAACTCTCGGTGGGAAGGAGCGGCAGCACCGACATGTCCTTGTGCATGCGACGCAAATTCGTTTCCTTGTCATAAGCCGTGGAATCGCTCATAAACTTGATGGCGACCGTCAGCGGCCCAAATATGCTGCTTGTGTAGCTGGAAAACGCGTCCAGCGAGATGGGGCTCCCATCCGGAGACAACACGTCGTCGAATTGGTCACCCCACACTCGTTGATGCGGTACCTGCAACGCACACGACATGTGAACGTTTCGTTGGGGAGGGCTCGAAGACGCGCATGTGAGTGTACCTTGGGGTCTTGCAAGAACGTCGGCAAAGTGGAACTCGCGAGCACCAGAAGGTTCATGGCAGCAAAGAATTCCTTGTCGGTCATCCCTTTTGTCTTTCTCCGCACGACCTTGTCAAACACTCGGTTGCACAGGCCGGCGTCAACAGCCTTGACGACCACCGACGTGCCGCTGCTGTAGATGGGCTCCGACTCCACTTCATACTGGCCGAATGTCACCTACCATGCACGGTCAGGTCGCGTTGGCTTGCACATCGTACGTACCATGTTGATTGATCCTGGCAAAATTTGGAATGAGGGTGAGTTTTGCCTTTCTCCCAATCAATGAGTGGGATATACCCAGTTGTTCCCAATTTGACGTCCGATTGTGAGGTTGAAACAAGCTGATTGGCTATAATGTATCCAACTCAAGTATTGTGCGGCCGCTTGTACTGTATCGCACACAGAACTTCGATCCAGCCTTGCTGCAATTGGGGATTCGAGTACAGTTCCTGTAGCGTTATTAGAACCCAAAGAATTTGCTTTCTCACAGTTAACTGCAAACGATATCTTGTATGGTCACGACTGGTATACTATCCCTTTGATCCCCTGATGCCTAAGAATCGCTTTAATACAGTGTCACAGCTGATGTATCAAAGCCGCAAAGTCGTCGCGATCCTTTTGGCGGTACATAGCGCTGCATCATCTCACGAATGTACGACCTGCGCTTCTGCCGCAGCTGCTCCATCCTGTCAGCCACCACGGCCACGTTATGATCACAATATCGATCCACCAATCACGTGACCGGATTTGAATGACCTCGGCTGACCACACGATTTCCCAACCTCTTTGACACGATAAGCTTAAATGACTCGTAGGACGTTCTTGGCATGAAATGGTCTCAATCGGTTGGTGAGTTGCATATATATATATATATACTAACGTTACGCTGGCATTCAAATGATCAAATCTAATGCATTTCAATGGACATACATATATAATGTGTATTGTCTGCGTAATCATCATTCAACAAAAGGCAACCGTCCCTGGCACTGGGTTTTAACGATTTTGGGTTTTATCGGTGGCACGTTGAATAGGTAAAACAAATTCCTATTAATAGTACTACTATTGATACTATTAATAATACTACGAAACGTTAAGACCCACAATGGAACTATTATTAAATAATAGTATTACTAATAATAACGTTATCTACTAGTATTATTGTCATACTGTAGTATCTTCGAGAGAAATTCTCAAGTGCAATCAGTGTCACATTGCACTTGTATTTATGTGGGTTTTTACATTGGATCGTTTATAGTTTCAAGGAGGTTAGATGGTGGTACTTGCACCTGGCGTTCGCATGTTGGCCATGGCCAATTGAATCGTTTTAGCTCGTGTTTGATAGAACAAGGTCTGGCCATACTCCAGCCGTGCGTGTCGATACTTAGCCATTTGGAGCGCCTCCGAGTCGATGCCACTGAGGTCTAGCCCCATGAACTTGGCTTCATCCACCAATGGCAGCACGCCGCTGGACGTGTGCTTCTGGCTGAGACTGTGCAGCATCCGCATGACCGTTCGCCCGTCGCCCAGCCGATTGAGCTCAAACCTAGTACCCAACTAACGTTACTAGGTAGTAATCCCATCAACTAAGTTAGTTCGTGGCCACGTACAGCATGATGCGGTGGCGCTGGGGCAGGTCGTGCACCCACATCTCGTCCTGTTGGATCTGCGTGACCACCACCATAGCCCGGCCTTCGTCTGCAAAGCACCCGCACAGCAGATTGATGGCTTCGTTGTTGACTGTCACTGTCTGATGCAGCGACGTCGGCCCCTCGGATTCCCGCAGAGTCTACCATCACTCGCAATCACGACGAGGTATATACTAGTAGGTATGTACTAGTACTACTACTACTAGTAGTCATTACCACTTGGGCGTCGCTCCGTGCGAGTAGCAATGTATGGCATAAATGCTGTTTAAACGTGGCTAGCAGCAGCTGAAACGGCAGTCTCGCATCCATAATGAACTGGTTTTTGCTGCAATACGTCCACATATCATCGTTCAAGATGCAATCTGCTTCGAGATATGGCGCGCTCGTGGTGGACTCGACGGCTGGGAAACCATACTGCTTGAATGTGTTGGTGGCGTTGAAGTACATTTGCTGGGCGATCCAGAGCTTCCCCAGCTGTCGCGACGTTGGATTTGCCAACAGTGTCACATCTTGCCACGTCAACGTGGCTGCGTTCGGTCGTGGCTACAGTATACATGTGAGGACTGCACATTGTGTACAGTTCAGTGTACCGGGATGCGGCGGTGCATGGCCACCCACGTGGTCATTTCGCGCACCACTTCCTGGGCATCTTCAACTTGGTTGGTGAGGCTCTCGCGGTCGGCTTCGATGGCCTTGCGCGCGCCATGCAATGCGTCCTTAACATGCTGCCACGACAGAGGCGACAGTACCGATGGTTGGTGCTTGGATCTGGTCGACTGGTGCTGCTTGGTAAAGTGACGGAGCTCAGCGTCGAGGGCTTGGGCGTGTGCGCGGAGGTAGGCGAGTTCGAGCTTCTCCTTCTCACGATACTCTCGCATCTTCGACCGAATGTATGGTCGCCGCTTGAGACGCTTCTGCAAAGACTTCTCGTCGCTGTCCTTCGAGACCGCTGCGTCCTCCGACTTCACCATTCGAAGTGATGTTGTTTATGCTAAAAACATATCTACCCAAGTCGTCACAATCCGTCAACGTGCCACAGTGTTGCTGAAATCATCCGGATAATCGAACGCATTGGCTACTCCCACTTTGATTGGCTAAAACGATAAAAGTGAATAAACCAATAGTCGCCCATTTCTTTGTTGGGCTTTCATTGGCTATAAATATTATCGTTGACCTTGTATGAACCAATCCGAAATTCCAGCGTGATTTACTGTTAATTACTTGAGTAACACAAGCGATTTTCAAATACTAATCGAAACTAAAGTATCAACGCAATAAACAATCAATTTATGACGCATGGCTCACTAAATTGATTCCCCCAAGTCAATTTAACGACAGAGAACGCCGTACATAACCTATGCAAATCGATTTGTTACTGCGTAGTGTACTTGTATAACTTCATATCCCAAACAAAAAATTTGGAATCAAAATTACATACGTTACAGTTAATTAAGGCTACAACAAATATCTTGTATTGACCATATTGACCAAACTAACAGTAAGATCTAATTTGCTCGTGGACTTTTTCGATAACCCTTGTAAGGGCCTGGTTGAAGTAATGAATCACCCACTTTTTCAGCACCCACTTTTCCTCGTTAACTATGTGGGCACTCACTTATATAAAAAGTTCATGGAATACCAACTTTTTGAAAAAGTGCGTGGTTTGACTTGAATTTGAGTAGGTATAAATTATCAACAAGTTATTAATAATGAGGTGAAAAGTTGTCCCACATTATGGATGCCGGATAGCAACGTCTGGGAAGGTATTGCTGCCCTATGCCAGTATCGTTTCACAACTATAACTGTTCTATGTCACAGGTGTCGAAACCTGCCCTGGAGATGGGAGGTGCACATTTGACCAAATTGTGGATCGTCTCCAGGTTTTCGCGCACGATCAAGGTCATCGCTTACCTGCTATGAACGCCTTTGTCGACATGCGGATGAGGGTGGCCATGACACTTAGCTACTTGTCTCAAGAAGGGGGATTCGCGATAACGGCAGCATTTTTCGGGGTCGCAAAGGCCACGACAATTATCAACGTGAATGAGATTTATTTATCATATAATTATATTATTGTCGTGATAAAATGTTCTTGAGAGTTTAATTCGTATATAGGTCATGGATCTTATTATTGCGTTCAGTTCGTCCGTTATTCAACTCCCCTAAAGTGAACAACAATGGATAGCCAATGCTGAAAAATTCGAGCACAGAGCTAGATTCCCCGACATCGGCAGGGCAGTTGATGGTTCTCTTTTTAGAATGGAAAAGCCGTATGAATATGACGGGAAATATTTGAATGCATTAATGCTTAAACAGATATAAAATATTGATATATTGATGTGCATTAGTTGGATTTATCGCAAAGGGTTCACCGTGATTAACTTGCAAGCGACGGTAGACGGCCGTGGGCGAATTATGGAGTACTCTCTGCGTCCGGGGTCGTGCGGTGACAAAAATATGTGGCATATGTCGAGCTTGGGGCGACGCGTTCAAGCTATTTTGCCGGCGTACATGCATCGCTTCGGTGATGCTGGATACACCCTGGCCACATACATATACCCTACCCGATATACACTGGGATGCCCGGAAGTGAATCACGATACAATTATCTTCAGTCTCGTTCACGGATCGTCGTCGAGATGGCCTTCGGCGGCCTGAAAGGCAGGTGGCGTGTCATGAAGCGCACCTTGAATATGAAAACTCCAAGAAGTTGTGGTCGAACTATCGTTACCTGCATGGTGTTGCACAACCTCACGATCGATGCCGGCGATGACCTTCAAATTACGGACCGAATTGACCCATATTTGGGACTTCATGTGCACGAAGAGACTTGGTCAGTGCAGCCGTCGAACCGTGAAACTGCCCTGCACAAGCGAAATGCAATTAAACAATATATTGTATCCTTGTACTTGTGAGTTCATAAAACTATTAATATCGATGTACTAGTTAGTATTTGTGAAAGCGTTAATGGTAGTTGACATGTTCATATGAGAAGTTACATTAATTTAGTAGTATCACTTCCTGAATTTTTTTACTTGCTTATCAACTTTGCAAGAGACTCAAATAGGACTATGTTGAGTGCTGCCTGTTCCTTTTGTGCTGCCGCTTGCAACTGCAACATAATGTCAATTTTGTCTACAAGTGGAGACAAATCCTCGAATTGGCCATCGTAACCAGAGCGTCTGCCATTCTGGAAAGCCCCGCCTCCAACGAATCACCCAACGACTTCTTCGCTCCGACTGCCCGAGGAATCATTGGAGAGTGCGCGTCCGGACGAATTTTGGCAGCAGTGCTTGGTGGACTACTGGTGCCGTCGTCGGAGTCGCCCAGGGTCTCGTCAAAATTGTCCTGAATGGAGTCCATAATTGGCAACGAGTTCATTCGAGAACATTCCTACAAAATTATAATAAAGTAAAAGTTGCATATAAATATATATATATATAATAAACCTGAAAATATTCCACAAGTATCTGCCAGTGGTCTGGGTAGTCGATTGATTCCTCCACGTTGCCAGTCTCCTCGGTAGCTTGGCACAGAGAACGATACTCTGTTTTCAACGCGGCGAATCGATTCGTCACTTACTTGACATCGTAATTAACACCTCCCCTAATGTTGAAGCGTGCGGTTACAAAAGCCCACCATGCAGCATTTTGATTGTCGTCTTGCATGCGTCGAACTTGCGCTTCGCTGTCTTGCTGAAGCTGATCGCCATGAGATCTGCAATCATCTCACTGGTCCATGTGGCTCTCTTGTTGTCCACCGGAGATGACTTGATCGTCGGTTTAGATGCCCTTGGCTTCTTCGCTGTCGGGCCGTATTCAGCAGCCACTTCATGTTGCCCAAGCTCCGTCATTGTGAGTGATTGACCATGAAACTGGCCCTTACCACCGCTACTATCCGGACACATTACTCTGACCAGTTATTATTTTTACCGGATTACTTCAACCAGCACCAACTTTTTCTCACCCAAAAAGTCGTCGAAAAAAATGAGTACTACTCTGGTCCACAAAAAGAGTCACATTATTTGTCTTGATTAAAGTATGAGGAGGAGGCCAAAAATATCTTGAAGTTTGTATTGAACTCTGACATTGTATGAACCAAAGACAGAAATATAATGACAAATCTATTTTATTGCCAAACCTACTTATTCTTGGTAATTCACCTACCACTCAAGTACGCCTGAGCATTCTCAAGGACAAGAGGATCACAATGGACATTAAACAGAGTCAAGTCCTTGATGGTTGCATCTTTATGCATATGCGGCATCTTGTAATCGTTCCTGCCCATGTGTTCAAGTGTCTTTTCCATGACCTTTTGCAAGGATATGAAGGTTTTAGCCAAATTGTCACGAGGCAACTCATGAAAGGAGCTCTTCACAGCGTCGATAAGCTCCTCAACTGTACGAGTACACTTCCGACTTTGCAGGCTTTGAATGGAGTTAAAATACCCTAAGTCTAAAACATTAAAGTCTGGACTATTTGGAGGTTGATTAGACACTCCAATTCCAGTTACACCCCGCTCAAGCAGACGCTGCGTAGTCACACTTGCGTGTGGACTAGCATTGTCTTGCTGCAAGTATATTATGTTTGCCTGACTTTGCCTTGGCATCTTTGCCTTAATAGCCGGCACTAC